GCCGCGCGAGCTGCGCAACAAGCTGGTGGCAAAAGCACCCGGTACGCATAAAGGGTAGAGTGAACCAGGACAGGAAAGGACTGGACAGAATAGGAAGGGTCGACGCGAGCACTCAGTTTGCTTTTGTCCTTTTCTGAATAGACAACCGGATGGTGTGGACTTGGGCGACAACTAAAATAAATTTGGGGACAGCATGCGTTTAAGCATCAAAGTAGCAAACGAAGCAATGACCATTGAGCACGCAGCCAAAAGCTGTGGCTGATATCACGTGTCCGAGATTGAAGGAGGAATACCGGGACTGGAGAGAGCAAACTGAAGTGAAGCGGTGCATTGAGTGTAAAACATGAGAAACGTGCCGTTTGCGAGCAAAATTGTGGAGACAAAAGCCAATTTCTGGAAAAATGAAGGACATTCCCCAGCATGCCGATCAACAATCACCACCACCAAGCTTTTTACGCCGCCGGTGGACCGACCGTTTCCCTTTGCCTCTCGTCTGCTTCATTACCGGCGAGGTCATGCTCCACCAGAAATGCACCTCCAGTAGGGCGGCGATACAAGCAGCAAAGGGTACCGTTTCCCATCCTGAATTTGCTAAATAATTATGGTGCAGGGACGCTGCATAGTAAAGTTACACGCGGCTTTGCCAAGATTGCGTCTCGGTCCTCGTCGCACGCCTCTTCCCTTTTTAACGGTTTCGGCTTTGTCGCTCTTTTAGATAATTATCTTTGGATCGACAGGCTTCTTTGGATCCCTGTCGTTTTTCGTATCCCGGCTTGTGTCGTCAGGCGTATTTCGGGATATGACACCATGATGTTGCTGAGGACAAACACAAAGTGTCGTTCAATATCACGTCTATTTCAGAAGCGGTGCAGATTCTGGTATACAGACTGTCCATTGATGAATATTTAGCGTAACAAAATATTCGCAGCATAACAGTATGGGTAAGCAATGGGTTGCCTGATGCCATGGCGCCCTATTGATTTTTGATTAAGGTCACTGAGACTGCAAAGAAAAATATGCAAGGCAGTAAGTAGGTATACGCATGGACGTTAGTTGTTTTGCACTTTGCCCCATAGTATACGCAATATGGGTGTTGGATGGCTCCACAAATACCCTGCACAATCCAATACAAAGTACAATAACGCAGCTTACCGATTGCAGATTCATCTATGCTTAGCCCTAGCTCTACCATGGGTCTGAGCCCATGATACCATAGACCATGAACCCCACAACTCACCATGGTCTACAAACTCCCGCGGCTCATCATAAGCCGAGGATGGCCATGCGGCTATGAGCCGGGGACTACCCTGCAGCTCACCATGAGCCGGGGACGACCCTGCAGCTCACCATGAGCCTTGAACCCCCGCGGCTCACCATGAGCCGGGGACAACCATGTGGCTCACTATGAGCCGGGGACGACCCCGCGGCTCACCATGAGCCGCGGACACACCTGCGGCTCATGGTGAGTTTTTTGTTGCGCCACATGTCAGCGGTCATGCCATGTAGTTCCGCATTACTTTTAGCTCCTGTGTGCGAAACCACTACTGGTTTCGGTAGTGTCAAGATCCCAGTAACTTTCTGGTATATCTATTTTTGTGTTCGATGTGCCTTATAAGCAAGGAAGCGTCGGGCAGTATGATTTTGTTAGTCTTGCTTGGAGCCGATGGGATTGTGGAGTTTTTAACACCTTGAGTTTGGAGTTCTTATGCTGACAGTCAACAACTTTAATACACAGGGAGGCGTCGGCTAAATGACGCTACCAAGCAAACATTGCTTGTTTTGCGAAAACTCGTCGTGCTTAGCTGTGCTCATGATCAATCGTAAGCCGTTACCATCGTCACAGCCAGATCACTGTATTAGTGAGCGAAACCACTGAGTGGGCACTGCTGGTCGTGCTGAGTGGGTACTACTGGTCGTGCTGAGTGAAAGCACGGTGAAAGCCAGGTCGTGTATCTGGCTCGCCTCGCTCTTTGGCGACGTCGATGAGCATTTAGCGACAACACACAGTACGCCACAGACCCACCGTGCAGCGGAGTGGCTTACCACACCATCGAAGATGAGGGGGCGACGGGAGCCTGCAGCTGGATACGTGCCGGTCTACCTCAGGCACTACCACGCCACGACCCGTGCGGGCTCAGAGACGTCGTCCTTCAGGGCTCCCTGTGGTCGTGGTGAGTGGGCACCTCTGGTCGTGCTGGGTGGGCACCACTGGCCGTGCTTAGTGGGCACCGCTGGTCGTGCTGAGTGGGCACTACTGGTCGTGCTGAGTGGGCACCACTGGTCGTGCTGAGTGGGCACCTCTGGTCGTGGTGAGTGGGCACCACTGGTCGTGCTGAGTGGGCACCACTGGCCGTGCTGAGTGGGCACCACTGGTCGTGCTGAGTGGGCACCACTGGTCGTGCTGAGTGGGCACCTCTGGTCGTGCTGAGTGGGCACCTCTGGTCGTGCTGAGTGGGCACCACTGGCCGTGCTGAGCGGGCACCTCTGGCCGTGACGCTCGCAGTTCCGTCCCCACGTCACATTCGGCGGCTGACGCTGCCGACGTCCTGTGCGGGTGCACTGTGAGACCGCTCACTGAACCATCGCCTCATGGAAGCCTGCCGGGTACGAGTGCGGAGATGAGCGTACGCAGGCTAGGATGTCGCCGCCAGCAGCCCATAGCATCAGCATCGCATGTGTCATATGCTTTAAGACGTAGCACAGTCCGTACACACTGACAAATTGCTGGGGACCAAATGGATGGCCAGCAAGCCCGAGCACCTTGAAACGCCTTGCCTGTCTCAGGCGGTTGATCAAGAGGAGCGTTCACCACGCCAAGTTTTGGTGACTTGTGAAACCGACTACGGCAGGGTTCGGTGACTTTTGAGATCTACCACGACAGGGTTCGGTGACTTGTGAGAGGGGTGCATCTCAAAGAAACCTCCGAAGGAAGTCCTGGTGTCGTTTTCCATTTTCTCTGTTGCTACCCTCCATATCTTTTACACCATCAATGTCAACCCAACGATGGCAGGTGCGAACGGAAAATGTTTGCCGAAGACAGACTGCACATTGCTGGCGCGCATATCTCCTGACACCGTGCACCCTGACCGGGGGAACACACGCCTGACAAGCACTGTCACTTGACGCCTTACCTGGCGTCTGACGTCGCGCCAGAGCTAATTTCTTCAGCGCCGGAGTTTTTGAACCAACGGTGTCTTGACAAAGTGGCGGCAGCGTCGTGAAATCCCTGGGTTCTGGATGTGGTATGCAATACCAAAAGACGCCCAGAGCTAAAGATGATGGCAGTGAGCTCGCCAGCTGCAATCCAAGCGCAGAACACCGCAGTAGACTAGTGGGTTCCCCCACATCACCGGAGGCCGGGCTATCCCTGTAAGAGCCAGCCCACCGGTGCCGCTGGCCGGTACCGATCGGCACGGAATGGGGCGTCCTATGCCACTTGTGTCACTTGATAGCCTTTCGCGATTGGCCGCGATGGCTTATGCCGCATTGCTGCACAGTGGGGCACGACCGTGATGTTAATATTTCATGAGCTAGTATTAAGTTGTCATCGGCTACGCACGTGGACAGACATGATGATCGACCGAGGCACAGTGTCCACAACACTGTACGTTGGCCCTGGCGCTGAGTTTGTCGTGGCATTCGCTGACAGGGTGTTTTTGCACCACTAAGTTGCTGTTTGACTTCGGCAAGCATATGCGGTTTGTACCTTGTCTCGGTGTAGATTCGTGTCGTTGCGTCGCGTAGTCGTGATGCAGTGGCCATAGTCACTGCAGGAGCGTTCTGACTTTTCGTGACTTGACTCGTCTTCACGTCATTTTTGTGATGAGGGGTGTCATTCATTGACCGCGAACCTAAAACAAGGACATCCGTGAGGAGTCATGTGAGAAATATTGCGGTGATTTTCACTTTATCTCGTTATCTTGTTCACTATTGAACTGGCTGGAAGCCTGCTTAAATCCCTTGCATTCCCCACCGCCTTTTTCTATCTTGCTTAGTTATTCAACGGACTGGCGGCTGTCCGTTGGCGCACAGCTGTTGAGCCCGGACCAAGAGAGTCTTGCCGGTCAGTGCCGAGCCATCCCTGGCCTAGGCACACGGCAGTCTTCTGCCCGGTGACCTTATTTGTTTAGCAGCCCGGCCCAGTAGCCATAAAAGGTGAGCGAAGGATAGGGCAGCGCCACTGGAAGACTTACTTGGTTAAGTCCTAGGTAAACAGTTTGCCTAGGCTGTATGGAAATCCACCAATATTCTTACACTGTTTGACCGATAAGCATTCCTGTCGTTGTTCGTGATGGGCCGATTGCCAAGTGGGAGGGGGGGGGGGGGAGCAATTGCGGCTAAGCAAGTCACCGCTGGGCACGTGACCACGGCATACGACAGCTGGGCCTGGTGTTGCATAGTTTAGACCGCTATGCATCGTTTCCGCTACCTGAAATATCAGAAACAGAAGAGTCGCTTGCTGGCAAAATGCCTAGGCGTTAAATGCCGATATTTTTATTTTCACTGTAAAAATTAGTCATCAGATGACACATTGACTTGCGGGCTCGTTCGGAGCATTCTATACTATACACCCGTGTGCGGGCTACCGCTCGCATGCCACCGGACACTAATTCGCAGCGGCTGCTGACCGTACACTCAACGACTCAGAACACTTGTTGCCCCGCGCTGAACACAGTTGCAAGCGTGCTTCCGCCGGAGCAGCGCTGCGTGTGCAGGTTGCTCGTTGACATGTAACGACCCTTAATGGACCAGCCCCCGCAGGTGCCCGAGCCGTCCCCAGGGCGCTCCGCCGGCAATTAATCTCGCCGGCGTGTGCCGGTGCCGCAAAGCTTGGCGGCGCCGGCGGCTTCTCCCGGTCCCGAGTAACGGCCTGTCCGTCTGGATGGCGTCGCCCGCGGCGGTGATCGGGTACGACCGGCGCCAGCGCTCTGTTGACGCGGGCGGCATGGTGACGCCCCCGCAGGACGCTCGGCGCTGTCCGGCGGCGCGCCCGTCTGCGACCCGGGCCACGAGCGACCACACGCGCCATGTCCAGCCCGTCCGGTCCTTGTCGTCATGGTGAGTGGGCGGCGGCTGGGCGCCGCCTCCGGTCCCTCTGCCCCTCCTGAGCACCTCACGCACCATGTCCGGCCCGCCCGGTCCCTGCCGCCATGGTGAGTGGGCGGCGACTGGGCGCCGCCTCCGGTCCCTCTGTCCTCCTGAGCACCTCACGCGCCATGTCCGGCCCGCCCGGTCCCTGCCGCCATGGTGAGTGGGCGGCGACTGGGAGCCGCCTCCGGTCCCTCTGTCCTCCTGAGCACCTCACGCGCCATGTCCGGCCCGCCCGGTCCCTGCCGCCATGGTGAGTGGGCGTCGGCTGAGAGCCGCTTCCGGTCCCCTCCCCAGCACCTTCGCTTAGGGCAGACCGCTGGAGATGCTGTTTATGGTATGGCTGTGCCGGCTTTGCCATGAAGTCGAGTTATTAATGATTGGTGGTTGAGACGGAGTTTGTTTATTTTTTTGTGCGCTCATGTAGCCTACGCTAAACCTTGTTTGGAGTGTATGTTAGACTGTTGGGGCGTAACGGCAGTTAACTGCGTGTGTTTTCAGATTAGGAGGCGCAAAAAGAGCCTGCATTAGCGTCAATCCAGCGCTGCCATGGTCGCAAACGGCACTCCCGCCAAGGGTCCGGACGGGCAGGTACGGAGCCAGAGTAGCGAAGCAGAAAATGTACTTGAACCGTACTTCAGGCAGTGTTTGCATTTGGCCCGTTTTCTCCGCCTAACGTTACTTATATGTAGCTGCTACTTTCATCGAACGTGATGGAAACGCTCTCGGTGCCTGATCATGTGAAATTGGTTTTGGCATCGCGTGCTCGTCTCAAGCACCATCCCAATGCCGCAGCAATGTGCTGAAACAGGTAGCGGACTCATGCTTACTTGCATTGAACACAACTTAAACGTTGAAATAACATTTCAGCCGCTCGGATACCAGGAGCCGACGCCTTTCTACACGCATCTGCTGCGCTTCCTTTTCGGACATGTCGGCTTGTTTCTTTCTCGTGGCCGGCTTTGCAGTTGTCGGTAAGTGATTGGGAGCACCCTGGCAGGACAGGGATAGAAAAGCAGTAGACGATTAATCAACGAGGATAGGGAATTATCGTATCATAAGACATGGAGGTAGCAGCATCGGTGTGGTCTGGTTTACCTGAGCACCTTGTTCTTTTGATCTGTTATCAGTCGCCCTTATGGCGGTTTGAATATGAGTAGTCATGGCAGGCGTAACGAAAAACAAAAAAAGGAACTCTTATTGAAACAAACATGTTAGAAGATTGTGAAATGATAGGATGTCAGTGAGAGGACCGGTTAATGTTGCAAGTGGATAAACAGACGAGCACACTGGTCAACAGCGAGCGCACGGGCTGCGCTGTGGAAGAGCAGACACATCAACACGGAGTGGGCATGGCTTGAACTGACAGATGAACACTCCGAACAGATAGTGAACAGGTAGATAAAAGGAAACAAACAAGGCGGAGCAGCCGCAAATCAGACTTTCTTGGTAATTGATGAATGGACTGGTGGTCCTTGAGAAGCGAGGGACCCGCTTACTGGATGGACACTACCAGGTGGATTAGAAAACCAGCTGGCTGATACCCCGTCGAATGAAAACACACTGCTTTAAGTGACTCCTTATAAGCTTAATTACATCCCCGTTTTCGAAGCGATTGATTATGTTGGTGCACAACGACGGCTAGTAGGATATCACAATTCAGCTGACTGCTTGGATACAAACCTGAACGTGTTTAGTACGTGTGTGAGTAATCAGTCCGTGAAGGTGTATCGAGTGCAAGAAATGCGCGCTATTTAGCCACACATGGCTGAAAGCAGTCACAGCAGCGTGCTAAAAGCAGAGCTAGGTTTTGAGCTTAACACGCGATTTGAACGGTAGCCGACATGGTTCAGTGTAAATGGCACAACGCCGTGCTCATAACTGGCTTGGGAAGTGCTTGCACGCAAATTGGTCGTGTCATGAAACAGCTGAAAGGAACTGGCGTACGGAAGGAAATCAACACGTATAGCCAACCTCAACGTTAGCGTACTATGGCATGCTTTGTTGATCATGAGTGTACTGCTAGCGCGCACTCTGAGCTCGAAGCCCACACCCCACCCAACATCCCATCCCTGCTTAACCCGCGCCCCGACCGGGGGTTTGAGACAAACACGCCCAGCCGGGGGAAGCTACTTCCCCTGAGGTTTCCAGCTTCCACAAGCTGCATGAGAAAACAAAGATATTTGAAGTTCTCCTGAAATCATGAAAAATGTTATTATGGTGACCTATTATGCTTGTTGTGACCCCATCACCTATTGTTAATCATTATAGCGTTAAAATGATATCACAACCTGTTTTCGAACTATGCGTCCCAAATTACCGTATGAAGCTGCCTATGTTGAGCTCAGCATGTGTTTTGCAGATGGTACTCAAAGAGATAGGTTATGACCCGAGCCAAGGTCATGTGCTCTGTGGTCACGTGATGGCTATGCATGTAAGTTAATACTCTGCCTCACATACAAACGCCCAAACTTCTAAAAATGCGTACAAGTTTGTATGATTTACGAAAATTGGTAAAAATTTACCTGGCTTCAGGCCTTTGACTTGGCATCTTCAAAACAAAAAGAATCCGAAATATAAAACTATAGGTGCGAGCATGATCTATTCTTATCACAATTCTGCGTTGTTCTTTGCGAGCGTCGTTTTTTGCCTGTGCTTTTCAAACCGTGGGCGTAAGTCACCCCCCCCCCCCCCCACCGACCAAGCGCGGGTCAAAGCATGATAATGTCGCAGCTGTGCTATGCTGGCAACCACGATGCCACGACGTCGCGCGGCCCGCAGACATCAACGACTTCGAGCGTGTATCACTGACTGGCGTCTTCGCGATGTACCCAGGCAACGCGACCACACAGGGCAGCGCTGTTTGTCGATACGGCCGGGGTGGCCTGCGTTCCCTGGGCGATGGGACGCATAAACACGGCAGGTACCGAGCGAAGAAATCAATACAGCCGCTGGTCAATGGATACCAATCACGTACCAAGAATGGGTGGCGACCTCGTGGCTGGTGGACTTTCGAGTCATGCTGACTTCAAGTGTTTGGCCAGAAGTGGATGATTAAGACCCTGACTCATGGTACCGGCACGCTTCAAAGGGGTTGGGCCCGCCAACATCGATGCGGCATGGGTGCTTTATTGCAACCCGCTCGTTCAATTTATAAGAAGCCGTTATTTTTCCGATATATTTGCTTTTCATGCTGTAAATCATCTGCAAATTTTGGGTCCAATACGAGCCCAATGAAAAGCTACTACCAGCTGGTGGTATCTTTATTATGGTGACATTTACGTCTTAAGACCATGCTGCTGCGGGCGAATACAAAGCGTAAAGGTGACAAAGATCCGGGTGTCCGGACTTTGCTGGGCTTAGACACTGTTTTTTTTTTTCTAATCAGAATATTATTTCCAAGAACCCTACGATAAGAGTATTCGTTTGCTGGGTTCGATTCCTGTCAGTGCTACATGCCCGCTTTAATGGTCCTTGGCGGTGTTGGGACACCAAACTAGAGACCATGGTGAGCCATGCCGGTCTGAGAGATTTCAGAGATTTTGCGCGCCCAATTGTAACGCCATGCGGTGACCTGGGGTCGGTGGCTCGGATGAGCGCCATGGGCAAGGACGCGAAAACGCCGGCTAACATCCACGAGTGCTGCGGCTGTGGTCCTGTGATGCTGGTCATCTGCTCCGGAGCGGGACCAACTGCGTCGTGCCGTTGCAGGGGCCTGGATGTACGTCCAGATCGAGCTGCCGGCCGAGGAGCAGCGGTACGCTCTCAAGAAGGTTCGCGCCGCCGACATCAACGACGCCTACAACTACATGAGCTCCCTGTTCTGGCACTACCAGGGCAAGAATCTGACTTTGCTCAGTGGGACCACAGGGTAATGACTGTCTGGCGAAGTGCCCTATTCGACCATGCAGTGCTAGTCGCTCAGGGCTTTGAGCTGTACTTTGAGCTGTAAGTTTTTTCAGCATGCATTTAAATGTATAAAAGTCGCGATTGGCTGGCGAAATCATATGTTTCTAATAAGGACATCATGGATCGCTTGCCAAGCCGGGACGGCTGACATTCTCCAAGCCACTGGGATATGGGAAACAATTTTAGCCTTAATATAAAGCATGCATCTGCGCTCAGTAGGCATAGAGATTTAATGCGCGATTGAAGGTCTACGATGCAAAATATTTTGAGTCGTAACTTGTATCAAGTACAAAGCATGTTGCTGCCGAAGTGGCTTGCTTTTCTTAGCCCCTTGCTCTTCCACACTAAAAAAGTTAGCGGCTGCTGATGATTATATATGATAAACGATCCGATGTTATTCATGCAGGGACCAAAACACCTCCTAAACAGCCTCTACGAATCCGAATAAAGTTGCCATTTTTCGCTGGTAGATCAAGATCAACCTGAAAACGATGGAGCAGTTCATCATAAACGCAGTGGAGAACTTCAATACGACGGGACTGTGGACGAATGGAACTACGACTGGACGTTCCCCAAGGCGCTGCTCTTCACCATCACCATCATGACGACCATCGGCTACGGTCACATCGCGCCCATCACCTTCACCGGCCAGATGTTCACCATCTGCTACGCCATGATCGGCACGCCGCTGCTGCTGGTCTTCCTGGCCA